AATGAAAAAAAAAAATAATAATAATAATTTGTCGATATATATGGCGACCGTTAAATTATTATTATTATTATTATCGAAAGAGTGAAAATGATAAGAAAATCCATAAAAGAAGTTAAATAATAATAATAATAATAAAAAGGAATTTTTTATGGTTTTCGAAATGTTTACCGATGTGAAAGTTTAATTTGGAAATTTCTTCTGCTAGCACTAAAAAAAAAAAAAAAAAAAAGTATTTCGATATAATAATAATAATCGTAAATGCGATAAATCCTTAATCGAAACCTGTCGTCGTTAAAAAAAAATTTCTATTTTAATTTTATCATTATTATCATCATCATTATTATTATTATTTTTTATTTATTGACACGAAAATTAATTAAATTCATATGGCGGTCGATTGTTTTTTTTTTTTTTTTTTTTTTTTTTATTAAATCAAATTTTGCGCTTATTTCCCGACGGCATTTTGCTGTCGTTCTCTTTCTCATTCGACGGGGGGGAGGAAGGGGGAGGTCGGTAAAAAAATATAATCACCGGGTGATGGATTGTGACGTCATCAATCGTCAAAAGGAAATCGAAAGAGAGAGAGAGAGAAAAAGTCGAACGTGAGCTAGTGTCACGGCACCCCGTAAAAAAAAAAAAAAAAAAAAAAAAAGTGACGAAATCCAAGGAGGAGAGGAAGGGGTGAGAGGAAGTGGGGGAACGGAGGGGAACGAATTCGATTCATAAATTTCGTTGAATAAATATTGACTATACGCGGTCAAGTGGAAATGTCTTTAAAAAAAACTTGACGTTTGAAAAGATAACACAAGACACCACCACCACCACTTGTTGGGAAAGAAAAGAAAAGAACGGATGGAAGGAAAAATAATAATGATAATAATAATAATAATAATAATAGCAGAAACTCAAAGCGATGGCAATCGACTTATTATTATTATTATTTATATATTTTTTTTTTTTTTTTTTTTTTTTGGAGCAACAACTTGACACGTTTGTTTGATGATTGTCATTGTGTCACAATTAGAAAAAAAATTTTTTTTTTTTTCTTCTTCTTAATTTTCACGTTCGCAAAGCGTTCGTCCGCCGCGTTTTGTTTACTTTTCCTTTTGTACGTGTGCGTGAGTGCGTGTGCGTGCGTGCGTGCGTGAGTGCGCGTTTATTTTTTTTTCCGTCACGAATTCGAATTTGTCGTGTTATTATGTAAAGTTTTTTAGCGTTCGAAAAAAAAAAAAACAATATTGTTAATAATTATTATTATCATTATCATTACTATTATTATTATTTTTCAAACTCTTACGTAACGTTACCGTTGTTCGATTCGTTTGAATTTTTGTTGATTTTACGGCAATTTCGGCCATTTTTGTCGTGGTTGTTGTTGTTGTTGTTGTTCTAAGAAAAATTTTGTAAGCGAATAAAAGTGTTACGGATTTTGTTTGTTATTTATTTGATGTCACAAGGATAAAATTTCGATTTGTTACGTGAGGGGAAAATGTCACTTCCCTCCTTTCCCCCCTCTCTCTCGCTCTACGGACAATTCGGGGGGAAAGAAAGAAAAAAGTTAAGGAATTTTTTAAAAGGGGAAAAAAAAGATTTAAATGAAAATGAATGCGAATTTATATAATCGATTAAATATGGGGGGTCGAACGCCATGATGATGATGATGATGATGATGGGGAACGTATGGAATGCAATAGAGAAGAAGAAGAAGAAGAAAGATGTCCGCCATTTTTTTTTTTTTTTAGGGTGAAAAGATGGGACGAAAACGTTTATTGAAATTATTCGATGGGTAAAATAAAAAAAAAAAAAATTTATTATTTTTCGTTCGCCGTGGCTTTCTTTCTTTCCAGAATAATAATAATAATGATGATGATGATGATGATGATGATGATTACGTTTAATTTTAATTATAAAAAAAAAAAAATCAAATGTGGTGAAAGTATGGAATCGGGTGTGTGTGTGTGTTAGGTGTGAGCTCGATTAAAAATGGCGGATTTCACCTGCTGATACGAACGATTTTCAAAAATTTTTTTTCGATTCGAGATATCGAATAATCGAAATACCGTGAAAACAAAAGAAACGCGAGAAATGTTTTCCGGCGGTTTTCGAATTTAAAAAAAAAAAAAAAAAAGAAACAATTTCATTAATCTTATTCCAGGAGGATGAGGAGGATGAGGAGAAAGGGGGGAATTTTTTTTTTTCTTCTTCCACGACGATACGTAAACGGGTTGCCGATAATGTAATTTCAATTTAGTAGCAGGAACAATGGATGATGATGATGATAATCATTCGTAGAAACTCCCGGTTGAAAATTTTTTTTTTTTTTTTGTGTCAGTGACAGTGATAAATGATGGAATTTAACGTGTAAATAGGTGCCATTATTGTCTGCTAGAATAGAATAGCCTCGATCGGGATAATTTTTTTTTTTTTTAACTGTTTCCCCCCTCCTCTCTCTCTCTCTCATATATATACGAAATCTTTTTTCTTTGTTTGACACGACGTTGCCGTGGTAGAATTTTTTTGTCTTTATACACCCCCAAAATGGGGAATAACCCCGACGGAAGTGCAAACGTGTATACGAACCCCGTCGGATTTTTTTATTCTTTCTTTTGTCTCCCCCCCCCCTTCCTTCTCTCTCTCTCTCTCTTAATTCACGATGGCGTCATTCGCTTTGCTCCAATTGGACACCATTTTCTCCATTTTCGGTCCATAATATTATTTTTTTTTTTTCCATCCTTATAAAGACAAAAAAAATTTTTTTTTTTTTTTTGTTCTTACCAATTGTTATAATAATAATAATGATTGTGTCCGCGTGGTGGTGGTAGGGGTAGTAGAGGTGATGGCAATTATCTTTTAAAAATACCGGGTCAGGTTCGTAATTGGAAAATTATAAATAATTTGTGTGCTAGTAAAATAATAATAATAATAATGATAATTTTTTTTAACGTGTCAGGTAGTGGTAGTGGTTCAAGTCGAAAAGGTATATTTTAAGGTACTTTTTTTTTTCTTCGTTACGCAAAATACGGTCCTGATCGTATAATTGTTACAGCACCACCGCAGCATCCGTGAAAAAATCTTTCAATGACTTTTTGGTAAAGAAAAAATTATACGCGAACAATTTTTCTTCTTCTTCTTCTTCTGTTCAATGACGAATTTGATTGTTTTAAATTTAGTCGTGGAAATAGAAAAAAAAAATAATAATAACAACTTTCGGAAACGTTCGTAAGTAAATAAACAGAAATATTTTTTCCTGTGAATCGTTTTAGGTTTTGTTTTTTTAAAAAAATTTGGCGGGAAAAAATGACGTAACGGAAATTGATACGAGGAAAATCATTTCCGCCATTTTTATTTTTACTCGCGAGAATGGGAGAGAGCGTGAGTTGCTGCGAGTGTTTCCGTTTACGCGTCGCAAAAAAAATTTGCTGTCGTTTAATTGCTTGATTGTTTTCGAAGACGTTATAAAAAAAATGATAAAATACGAATTTTTTTAATTTGTCAAAACGGAAACGCGTCGCAATGTCGCCATTTTCTTTTTCCGGGTTTTTTTTTTAACGGTAGCAAAATACGAGAGCGACAAAGGAAAGAACTTTTTTTTTTTTTTAATATTTTTTATTTTATTTTTTGCTCGGATTAATTCGGAACGATTCAATATGGCGGAAGTTTATTTTTATTTTTTGTTGGTATTAGTTTGAAACGATTCAAAGATGGCGGAAGTTTTTTTTTTTTTTTCGTATCTAACGGAATTAACGTTTCCGGTTGATTTCCTCTTTCGTTTCGTTGTTCTCAAACTTTTAAAAAAAATTCTTTATATGATTTCGAAGGAGAAAAAAAGGGGAAACAAATTTTTTTTTTTTTTTTTGAAGTGTCGGTTGGCAATATGAAAATATAATCGACCAATTACGGAATGTTGGTAACAACAACAACAACACTTGAGCAATCGATTTTCTTCTCGTTTTTTCATCCACTTAAATCATTTTTGTGTGTGCATGTAAAAAAATTCTTATTATTAAATTTTGAATTGGAATTTTTTTCTTTTTCTTTCTTTTTCCACGAGTCATCGTGGAATTAACTCATCTTTGACAAGTTTGAAAAAAAATGCGAATTGCACTGCACGAATCTCGATTAGTTTTTTTTTTCTTTTTTTTTTTCTTTTCCTTTATCATTATTATTATTATTATTAAAAGAATCGTTGTCAGTTTTCGTTATTATTATTATTATTATTATTTACACAATAATGAAATTTTTTTTTTTTTTTAAATTTATCCAAACGCAATTATCTTGCATAATTGA